GTTATGGGGTGGGTGGGTCCCCACCATCCGATCAATTCTGTTCTCTGTTCACGTGGTTATCTGATTTCTTTGAATGGCATGTGTGTTGTTTCTTCCTTGTCCCCTACTTCCCATTGGTTTAATTGCTACTTTGATTTAAAAGACACACACCCCCTCCAATGCTCGTCTCTCGCTTGCGCGTACCTGTCTGTGTGTATACACAGACACGGTGTGAGTGACTGTGTCACTCTCTCACAGTGTGTGTCTCTGAGACACACAGACACACACACACACACACACACACACACACACACACACACACACACACACACACACACACACACACACATCAACAATCCACGCCCACTTGGCCATTTGAGTCACCTTTTCTGTGTGTCCTTTGTCTTCAGAGTCAATGCAAACAAGCGAAGCGAGCCAGCGACAAGCCTCGCAACAAGCAACAGACGTGTGGCTGACTGGAATGCCAAAAAAAAAACGTCACAAGTCTGATGGTGATTATTTGTTGATTCGATGTTACTTTATGGTGAGTTAACCCTTGTCCACGTTGGAGATGTACCCATTAACATCACTTCGAATTATAATCAACAATGAGCGAGGAAGAAATCTTGAGGTGCGGTGATGCGAGCGAGTGAGCGCACGCCTGTGCCACCGACCACAATGTCAAACCACGTTGCGCATCCACGCAGCTTCACATCACGTATGTCACTGGCTCATGCATTAATTGATTATGTGCATGTGTGCCTGTGAACCAGGAAGGCGCTGAAGCCGCCAAAGGTGGATTCGGCACTGATTGTGCAGCTGTGCCAGGAGGAGTTTGGATTGGAAAACGCCACTGTGGAGAAGGAGTTTGATTCCTACGATGACAGGAACTACCTCATCTCCGCAACACGAGGCAGCTTCGTGTTCAAGGTTCACAACGGTGCGTGGCCGCACCGTATGCGTGTGTGGTGGACTATGGAGATGGGAGAGGCGACTAGTCAGGCGTTGTGGGATGTAAATGTGAACTGACCGCACTGGTTGCACAAGCACCTCCCAAAAGCACCTTGCTCACACTGCTCCCAAAAGCACCTTGTTCACACACGCGCGCACACACACTCACACACTCACACACGCGCACACGCACACACACACAACACGCACACACAACACGCACACAACACACACACACACACAACACACACAACACACACACACGCGCACAACATCTACACACACTACATGCGTCACATTTCAAGGAGCGGACTCACGGCCGGAGAGGGAGACGTTCCTCGATGCACAGAATAAGTTGCTGCTGCACCTGCACAAGAACAAGGTCGCAGCACCAGTGCCGCTGCCGCTCGCCTCAAACCCGAATCAACACATCATCTACAAGGAGCTCCAGCGACCAGATGGCAAGAAAGGTACCGCGCCATACTGCCGCTGCTGTCATACAGGTTGCGCCTCCAGCAAATTGCACACTCCACTTTGAGGTCCCTGCCTTGCACCACACGCTCACATTTGCTCTTGTTGCTTGTTGCTGTACGCCTTCATGCGTTTGCTGCCACCAAGTGCGCCATGGCATTCGCTTGCTTGCGTATTTGCCCGGCAAACTGATGTGCGAGGTTGAACATACGGACGCCGTCCTGGCCGACCTCGGCGCCTCCCTCGCACGCATGGACCTTGCCCTTCAAAGGTCAGCATCATGTACGCGCGCGTGTGTGTGTCTGTGCAAATGTGCGTGTGCGCGTGTGCGCATGTGTGTATGTGTGTGTATGCGTCTGCGCGTGCTGCTGTACTCTCAGTTGTGCCTGCACGAGCGTGCTATCGTAATGCGCACCCCTCCATCCCCTCCCAGTGCACCTTTTCTCAACCCCATCCATCCACCCATATCATCTGCACACACGCGACAGCTTCGACCACCCGGGCTGCCACCGCGTGCACCTGTGGGACCTGCAGCACCTGTCGCAGCTGCACGTGTTCCTGCCCCACATCACAGACGACAGCAAGCGTGCGCTCGCCACCAAGGTGATGGAGCGATACGAGGCGCAGGTGCCGCAGCTGGCCAGCGCCTTGCCCTCGTGTGTGCTGCAGAACGATGCAAACGACCACAACATCGTGATGAGCGAGGACGGAAGTGGTGTCTCCGGGTTTCTTGACTTTGGCGACGTCGTTCACTCGTGGCGCATCAACGAGCTCGCCATCTGCATCGCATACGGTGGGGCATCACCCAGTCATGCTTGAATGTCTTTGGTGGTTTGGTTTGATTTGGTTTGGTTTGGTGTGGTTTGGTTTGTTTGTTTGTTTGTGTGTGTGTTTGGTTGTTTGTTCATGTGTGTGAGTGCGTGCGCGCACGCGTGTGCGTATGCCCTGGCACTGGCTGCACGACAGCTCCATGCCATATCAACCACCCCCTCTCAACCCATCGCCCACTCCCTCCCCCGTGTATGTGCAGCGTGCCTTGAGAAGTCGGATTTGCAGCATGTGGCGTCAACCATTGGGCGCGAATACCAGGCCATCCTCC